CCATACCCTAAGCTACATGTAAGCACACATACACACAGGTCTGTGTTTAATAGAGCACCAACTTTCAAAAGGTGTAGGAGAAAACTGTCCTTCTTTTATTTCTGTTCATCCAACAGAACATTAATGTTCAGTTGTAGAAGTGGGAGGAAAACTCCAAGATAGATATTCCAGGGAAAACCCATGGAATCAGGCAGGGAGTGAAAACCCAATCCACATGCTGACCTAGGTGAGATTCGAACCCAGGCCGCACAGGTGGAAGGTGGGGAAAGAGCCACTACATCAATCCGACTCCCCCCCGCAGAGAGACCATTGGCAACATCACCATATTAGATGAAGGAAACATTTCAGTTTGGCACTGGGGAAGCCTGCTACCTGTATGTGTAGGTACAAGGATAGGCTTACTGGTGCAGCTTCTCTAAAATACAAGAGGAATTGGCCGTTTTTAATTATGCAAGACATCCCTATCTGGACCTTCTAGTGGGGACCAACCAGGAGCCATCTACATGTACATGTACATGCACTTTACATGATAGAGTTACATGTAACTGACGGTCGTTGATTAATCAACAGCTTTGGTTATGTTTCTGACCAACCACTTTGGATTACAAACGTGGGATCATATGAAATTTCCATATTCATATGTGCACATTCACTCAGCGTTCAAAGTGTGCTTTGGCAAACACACGCACAATCACTTGTACAATCCGAAAAATTGTTTGTTCCGTGTTGTAGAATGGGGAAATAAACATAGAATTCAGTAACCTAATATGTGTAAAAATGCATATAATTTTATGTTAGCCTTCGTAAAGGCTCCTGCTTCCTGCTCCTTATTTAAGGGCCCACAAAGAAAATGCTGCATAGCAAGTTTACAACAGCAAATCTTGTCAGAGAGCCAGTAACTGTCTGTGTACTTTGCTTGGCATTTTGCTCGGCGGGTGACCAATTTTTTGCTTTGCCAATATTTTGCATGGTGAGTAGCCCTTTGAAATCACACCCAGGTCTTGCCTATCATCTGACATGATGGAACACGGTACTCGTATGTCAGTGTTTCATCAGTCATCAATCAAATCACCCACTGATGAGAAATGGTCAAGCACCCTGCACTGGTCTCTCCACTTGAAGTTGATATCCACAAAGACCATGTGCTGATGCACGCATCCACACATCATCAACAGTCGAGGATGTAAATTCACACTACTTTTGATGATTCATCAGTTATTGCAAGATGCCATTGACACTTCAGCCACTTGGAACTCATCCCGGATGCATACAACCTGCATGTTGTCCTGAGCATCAGTAATGTCCAGTGAGGATTCTTGTTACGTGTCTGAGTTTGGATGTACGTGTAGCTCCCATGTGAGAAAGGCTGGGAAGAAATTAAGTATGCACGCATTGTGGCCTAAAATCCGCACTCGCAAGTATCATTGGATGGATTCTAACATGAAAATTCACTGAGATGATTTTATGATACTTGGAGAAGCCCATTAGCATTATCATTGTTCTTATGATTCTTAGACGTTCATGTAGACGATCAGCCCATCAAAATGTTCCCATTTTCATCTTCTGAGCATTGTCCAGGACTGCAGAAAATAAGATAATGAGTTTATGTACATACATCATGTACATGTACATTACACCCACATGTACAACACTGTGTGGGGCCAAATGATAGGTACACCAGGCATGTGATTTTTTAGGCCCAATGGAATAGGTGCTGCAGAGATTAAAAACAAGAAACTGAATACAGTGTCCAGTCTCATCTTTGTAAGTGTGGTACATTTCCATTGTAAAAAAATCAAAACTTGTACATGTAACGTAAAGTTGGCATGCCTTTCAGAAAGGCGTCATGGAAATGTTCAGTTTTGGTTAATGAAATCCAGAGTAATGGAACTTGATTCCCACCAGTTTTAGTTGAATATTTGGTGTTTGAGTACTCATCATAGCTAAAATGCACACTTGTATGTTCTTGTATATTTTATGGGTATTCACTGAGTCCCCCCCTTTTTTTTTCTTTGCATTTTGAGGTTCAGGAATATCAAGTACCAGTGTAGCTGGTTATTAAAGAGATCCCCGTGTAGGCCGTGCTCACAGATGGCATGGGACACATTCTCCAAATTTGAGGGCAAGTCCACAGCATAGGAAATTTGAAACGAGATGTTTTAAACAGGAGACACATCTTTCCTGCTGCAGCTCACTGCTGGAACATTAAAAAAAAGCCCGATTGGCAATGTTGTGCTGAGAGGAATTGAGTTGGGTAAATATTGCACTTCTGACAGCATATACAGTGAACAAATGAATAAATGCACTGTAGTTGATTCTTTGCTTTGAATGTGATTGAAAGACAAATTTCATAACCAAGGCCAATTAGCCAATTATTTGAACTGGCAAGGCAGGTGTTTGGGGCTTCCGTGCAATTGATTTGGCTACTCCCCAGCGCTCTCTGTCTGCTCGGATCCATCTTTATCATCGTTTGTCATCAGTCGGCTGGTCCGTCGTCGCGGCAACTCTCTTGTCTTTTCCTCTTTTTGCCTGCGGGGGGGGGGGACTCCTGCTTTGCCACAGTGATATCTGATCCTGGGCGTTGGACTTGGAATATGATATGTGACCCGTCTCGACAAAATGAGCGTAAAGTTGTATTCCGCTCTTTCCTATTTTGAAGGTTCAAAATCATATTGAAGTGGAGGTTAATTTGGGGATTTTGTAATATTTGGAAAGACTAACCCGTCTCCTATTTAATTCCAAATATTTCGCTGGATCATGTAGTTTAAAATGTCATTTTCCCAGCAGTTTTGACAAAAGCATTATGCATGCCTGGTCTGAAATGTTGAAACAATGTCAGGAACAAAGACGTAAAGCTGCCAGAATAATGTCACATTGTCACCTTATACTTCTACCCTAAGTGTTCCATGTACATGCCATTGGAGAGCTCTTTTTCTGCTGAACTTAAAAATACCAATATCTCAATTTTTGAAAATTCTGACTTTCAGCTCATTTTGTGGTGACAGGTCACATATTGGAATCACTGCAGCTAGAATCTGCCCCCACCCCCCAAAAAAACCAGGAATGGTCTCAAACTGCCATCCCCCCAACCATTCAGGTCTTGAATTCCTGCCCACACACGATCTTCCAGAATTTCTTTGATTTGCGTGTTCTTCTGCATGCACATGCATAGGCAGTATCGTGATTAATGGCTCTGTAAGAGAATCTTTACATCTGTCAGAAAACTATGCTGGGAAACCATACTTGGCCGATCTAAATTCACCGTCGAGCATTGACGTTTTCATTTCAATTTGGTATTCTATTTCTTTTCCTTCTCGTGTTTAGTAGAGGTATAATTGAGACCTGGAGGTGATTGATGTATTCAAGATCCTGGCCCATGCATCATTCTTGTTAATTTCAAACATCTCAGTAATCCATTTTTTCCCACCTTTTCCATCTGGAGAGGGATTTGGTCAATATGGCCCCTGTCAATCACCCCAGTTTTGTGGGTCGAGAACTTTTATGAGTGTGTCCTGGAATATTCAAGTCGATTCTCCCCTGCTCAGCCCATGGATTGGCAATATTTATGAAGTTGGCGTAAGTGGACTAGTTGTATGCATTCATCCATAATTCCCTGTCACCTTATGCTTTTGAACAGGTGTAAAGTGGCTTTGGATGCCCTCATGAAACAAATATTTTAAGGGAAACACAAGTGCATTAAAAATGTTGTCCATCGCCCCTACGTGTTTGTCCCTGCAAAAAGTAACATTGTAGTGGAGTCCTTTTCTGAGTCCATTTGTAAACTGATATATCAGATAAGTTAATAGGATTCAGACTGCAGCACTGAGGCAGAGGGGACCGAACTGCAATGTAGCTGTTTAAACAAGAAGGAATAAAGGTTTGGGTTCACAGATGCCATGGGTATGCAAGAGATACAGGTACATATGATAAATGTACCGGTACATATAAAGTGGAATAATTACAGCAGTCTGAATCCTTTTGCATTTCTGGGTTTCCTTTATTGGCTGAATATTGAGATTCAGTCCTGTTTATAGAAGCACCAGTCTTATCCATGTAGAACATGCTTTTCTAACTGTTCCAGCTTGATTTCTATTGCACCACCACGTGTTTTGACAGATTTGGTGGACTCAGCAAAGGACTGAATTACAGTGCTAGTGAAATACCCACGTGAATGGCTTAGGGGAAAAAGCAGATCCATCTCCAATTTTTTTTTTTTTTTTTTACTTTGTCCCTTGCCTGCTTGCCCTTTGCTTTCCTTGTCCCTTGACACTGACTACACTCAACAACTGACTTATCCATCAGCCCATCAATCTCGCTATCTCCTTGTGAGGATTTGACCGTCTCTCTTCGAGAGTCAATTTATCTTAAGTTTGTGATTTGTTTCCTAGTCGATCCTATAGAAGGCTACTCCTTACCTTGTATTTAAAGCACATCCAGCCGCAATCAACGTCACCGCACTAGTATTTTCTGCTCTTAGCCTTGATTATTAAACAATTTGTGAGCTTTTAAGTAATGGAGACGGAAAATTGATTCAATAAATCCCGAAAAAACTGAGTGATATCCTTGCATATGTACATCCAATCTTATAATACATCTTGTTTCTCATTGCCACGTGCATCAACTATTGTAGTATCCATCGTGTATTGATTTCATCTTGTTAATGCTTTCAAGATTTTTTTGATATTGAAGTGCTGTTTAAGGTTCTTCATTTGAATCCTGCCTCAGGGCTATCAAGTATACCAGTACAGTATATGTCTTTTAATCAGCAAGTGAATTCTCCCCTGAACCTGTTCTCCAGAGTTTATCCATCCATCTGTTGGAAAAAATCACCTCCAGTCTTGTACACAAGATGAATGTTTGCCAGAGGGGAAGAAGATTAGATAGAAGAAATGAAAGAATGTATGGGGCTGGGGAGTTCTTGTACATTCTGGTAGAGTCTTGCGTACAACTCAGTTTAATGTTGTGTGTCTTCTTCTATTTCTTTGCCTTGTGGGCCTCAGGTGTGTGAAATGCACGTCGCCGGTTACAACTTTGCCGTGCTGGACACAGCCTTTCTCGTTCACAAGGGCTTCAAGGAGAAGTCGGCGTATCACGCTCACAAGCTGCTGGAGAACCGCAAGAACAAGGAGCTGTTCCTTCACTTTCAAGAGGAGCTGAAGGTCAAGTACCCGGACTCCTCAAAGAGGTGCCAGACATAGTTGGAGTGCTTGGGCTGCACGGCAGATCTATGCGCTTGGTGAGGCAAATGATCACCTGAAAGATGAGAGGGTTGAACAGTCGGACATAAACCCCTAAATTCTTTGGCAGAGAAAGATTGTGCTGGGAACAAAATGTCGGTCTCTCTGACTTCTCTAAATTTCTTTCTTCGGTTAAGTAAATGGTGTGACCGGGTTGCAAGGGAGTGTGAATATCCAGGTGTCCAAATGATACGGTTGAAGCATGGAGGAATTCCTCCGTAGTTGAAGGTAACTAGACCCTGTTATTTCATGTTAACTAGGCCCTGTGTTTAAAGGGCATTTTCGTGCCAGAAAGCAGACTTTTAATCAAGCCATCACGAGTCATTCACTTGTCAATCATACGTCAGTCATTTGTCAATCATAAGTTAATCGCCAGTCAACCACAAGTTGTCCAGTCTCTACTCAAGTCACCTGCAATTTGGATGAACCACAGCAAAGACATCCATTCCAGTCCCTATACATTCGGGACGTGTACTTGTGAACTGAAGTGGGATTGGACTTTTGATTGTTCAGTGATTGAATGACCTGCAGTGCCAGAGGATCGTTTCTTTCTTCAGCGCATGTACATGGATATTGGAAACCCCTGTGTGCCTGTGCTTTATGCTATGACAATGAAACAATAGTGTTGTGAAGTAATGCAGATGTGAATGTCGGACTGCAATTTCAACTTCAAAAATTGACCTACATGTATAGTTGCGTTGTGACCTTGAAGATGTACTCAATGTGATAACATTGAGATCTTTGTATGTACAAGTCAGAATCCTCTCTAAAAGTGGCATTTTTGTGGGTTTTTCAGTTTACAAGATACTATGCATCACACTATTTTTCACCTGAGAGCTTTGTTAATGAGAAGTGAGTTTATGGAAAGTGGAATATTGTGTGGTATTAGGCACTCAATCTGGCTGGAAATCCACGAGGGTCTCAAATGGCCTGATTATGGCAATACGTGTGACAGGTCTTTTTACATGTATGCACAGTACCCACCAGTCCACTGATTGGTCAGGATGCAGATTCTTCACATGGCATTTGGAAATTTCGCTCAGGCATCTGAAACTCAGTGGTTTGTCTACAGTATGTGCTACATGCAAGTTACATGCAATGGGAACCTTGCTCATTGAAACCAGCAGAATTCCAGTTTTTACTCCCACGGAATCCTGTTACCTGTTTCTGTTTGGATGGGCCCTTATCTACCCAAACTACTTTCTAAGGGGAGAACTTGTCAAGTATTTTGGATTCTCCCACTGTGCCATTGTACATTCTGATAAACTGGTGTTCTTCGTGCAGTAACAACAAGTGAAGTATTTGTAGAATGTACCTAAAAACTCTGCAAACTTGACTACTTGTAAGCAATGCATCTGGGTGCCAATTAAATGAGAAGTCGCAGTCCAGCATTTGAAATTACGTATCATTTAGCATGCAAGGGGCCATGAATTATGAATTAACTCCAGCTGGCTTGCTAATGAGAAGGGGGGAACCATCTAATCTTGTCTGCAGCACTTGCTGCGCGGTCCAGTTGGCATAAAAGTAATCATTGCCAGCTGGCTGCTTAGGCCCGACTGCGCGAAGTGTACACACCACCGCCAAATCAGCCCCAGTTCAATGCACATCTTTTATTTGTTTACTCCTACTATTGATGAAAACCTAACAGGGGGGGGAGACCTCATCCAGGAAATGAAATACCTCCAGCTCGACCTTTCAATTAATTAGACAAGGTGCAGTTCATCAGAGAAAAAGTGCAACCCCCCCCCCCCATCTCACCACCTTATTCTCCCAGAAGTTGGCAGAGTTGCGTGTATCATTGGCAAATTGATGAGGTATGTGTCTCTGGCGTGAGGAATCACTTCCGCCAAAAAATAAACAGAAGAGAGAGAGTTTATTTTGGCGGGCACAACACATGAATGTTGGGCCAATTATTCATCGCGCACCCTGGAGTGATCAGTCTGTTAATTTTTTTTTTTCCTTAGGATGATGATGATTGGAAATGGGGATTTTTGTTTGTAACTAGAGAGAGGGAATGGGGAACTGATCATGAATTTTGGGACTGGCAGAGTTTGATTGCAAGCTGGAAAGAGCTGGCACAGTCTTGTCATTGCCAGAGATTGTTTGGCGACTGACTTTTATGGCAGCATTAAAGTCAGAGAAATCATAAATCAGATGTTCTTAAATCATGGTTTTATTTCTTGAAATCCAAACGATATTTAGAGCTTGTTGGAATTTTGTTGATTGCTATTAAACAACTCCTTAAAATGCACGAAGAATGACCAATTTAATAAAGACAGTAGTCATTTGGCACTTTAAATGCAAAGGCTCTTGGGATCATTCTGGTATGGTCACTATTTTCTGTATCTTAGTTTTTGGTGTGGAAATTTTAAGATTCTTTGGTCATTTTTAACTGCCCAGAGCTTTCACACTGTTAATCTAATGTAATATTTCTGTTTGATTTTTTCAACTTAAAGTTATTCATTTTGTACTTGTAAATAGGAAAACTTCTGTTTGCCTCAATACGTGATTTGACAATCAAACTTTCTATATGCATGCTGATACAACTGTCACTAAGGCTTAAAAGCTTAAAAGTTATGGTGTTAAATGTAGTTTTCAGATTTGTTTTTCAGATTCTTTTTTTTATTTACCAAAACTCATCAGCCACCAGCGGTTGTAGTCGTTTCATATCAGTTCCTCCAGAATGTCTGATTTTATTTATATTTCCTTTAATTTCTTTTATTTGTAAGGGGTTGATGCTCAGAACTGTGTCGTTCCCACAAAGTTCCTGAATTCTTATCGTGTTGCATGCCAAAGTTGTAGCATTCCATAGCAAGTTGCCGCTTGGACTCATTGGTGACGTTCTGTTCCAGTGAACCTCATGACGTGTCAAAGAGAAGTTAGACATGAAGTTTTTAATCGTTGGCTGCTTATTACACTGGTGTCCATCTTATTCACAGACTTCTTAATGCACTTATGGTGTGAGGTGTCACTTAATTTAAAATGTGAATGTTTCCATCTTGACATCTAACACTTGGCAGTGCTTTTACCTTTTTGTATACAGCTGTGCCCGTATTGAGAGAAGTCGTTCTGTGTAACACTCAAGAGCTAGCATGCTTACTGGTACTGGCTGGAGTGTGCGGTTCCCATGTTTGGAGGCTGTATCAGCTAGCTTAGCGTACATTGCAAAGAAGCAGCAGACTTCTGTCCCTGCTTATTACTGCTGTTCAGATGCCTTGTTGCTTGTTGGGAATAAGATCAATCATGTTCCTCAACAGGAAAGGCTGTGTAATTAGCTGTACAATTTTGGCATGTGTAAGTTATGAACTGCTGCATGTTAACAACTGGGGCAGATTGGATCTCTAGCTTTTCCAACAGTATCAAGTCTTTCTTTTTCAACCATATTTTGAGCTGACAACTTGAAATTAACTTTAAATTATGTGGTACTATTAGTATATTTATATTCTAATCTCTTGCCATTTTTTATATGACGCTCACATGTTGGAACTTTGTTTGCCACACAAATTGTTCTATGTTGCTGTTCCAAAAGTGTGTTGGTTTCAATTTAAACTACAAGTTACAATATACACCTGTTTGCAGTTATTACATCAGTTATTTGATACAGACATGTCTGTATGGTTTGAGTGTCTACAACTTCTGTTACATAATTTGGAATGTGAAGGGCACTCCATCATTTGTAGTTGCAGTGATAATTCTTTATGAACCTAAATTCCATGATGCAGCAGGAAATGCTAGCGTCCCGTCTCTTTAGTTTCTGTCTTTTCATTTTTAGGGGGAAAAAAGGCAAAATCTTTCCAGACGTAGTAAAAAACTGTCCAATTGGAATGAGAAGCAGAATGCCCCATGTATTCCTACGTGGTTTATTCGTTGGAAACCACACAAAGCATTCCGAAATGAACACCTAGCAACAATGTCTTGCTACATTTATTCGAATCTACAAATCCTGGCCATGACCAAACAAGGAGACATTAGGAGCAGCCCAAAGTGTTTGCAGTAGGTTGAAGTGTCTTTGTTGTTCGTATCTGAAGAGCAAGCACTCCATTCATTATGGTAGGTGCACTGTCTGCAGTCAGGATCCTCAATGTTAAAGAGCCAACATGCCTGTACTTTGAAGGTTCCATGGAGTTGTATTGTACTTGTTAATAAAGCCACCCATAGGTGTCTACATCCACCGATAAGCATGTCATTCAGCACCTTGTCCCACTGGTAAATAAATGAAACTTGAACTTTGGGTTTATCTGTGAGTGTTTTCTAAACTTGCTCATGTTAGAGCTTCAGCTAAGCGGAAACAAATCTCTGAAGAATCTACAGTTGTGTACACAAACAAAGGATGTGTGCCAAAGTATACCGATGGATGGATAGATATATTAAAGTATTTGTTGCTTTGTTTAAAAGCAATGGTATAATTTGATATTTAAGATCATGTTTATATTCTTTAACCATATGAAAATATTAATCAATATAAAAATGGTTTTGTTTTATTTCTAAAGTTTATGATTGTAGCAGTACTGATTGATATAATTGATATTCATTTATGTCCGCATGACCTGCAAAAACGTTGTTTTGCATCTCTCTAGTGGTTAGTTTACAGGGGTTTAATCAGCAGGGATCGCTGTTTGGTTGAAAAATTTTGCCAAGAATAATTAGTTCTGCTTCAGATGTAGATTTTTGGCCCATGCTCTACAGGAGGTTTGATATACAGCTCTGGCACACAATCCGATTTCCTATTGTGCGCATGATGTAAAGGCACGTCGGTTTTTTTTTTTCTATGGAGGTGCCAAATAGTACTTTTGTCAGCAATCCAGGTGATTTACTAAAGAGCTTTTCCCCACTTGCATTTCTTTTCTGAATCAGACACTGGTATCCACCTATCCTGTGACCAGGCATGCCAAGGATAACGTTGCTGCTGGGCTTTTGTGTAGCATCAGTCAAATGTTTTCATATTGGGCATGTCCTCATGCGTACCTCCATTGAAAGAGATGGAGAAGTGAACAGCTTCCAAATGCTTTTACAGATTACAACAAAGAAGTGGACATCAAAACATGGGCTCGGGATGCAAAGTGACTCGACAATATTAATTCTTAGTAGCATTTCCAACACACTATAAATGCACATGCTTGGATCAAGTTTTTTAATTTGCATCATGGATGTATTCTCCCGCTAAATTTTAGATATCTTGATTTTACACAGGCTTCAAATTTAATTGAATTTTAATTCATGTGTAAAATATGCATTGGTTTCATTCCCCTTAGCTTCATTATTAACATCTGTTAGAAAAAGCTGATTACTTTTCTTAAATTTACTGGGTTAAAGGGGCCTGAGAGTTTCAGTTTTCAAAGCAACACATTACTGAAAGGTAACTGTGACCATATTCAGCTCTCAACTCTATTCCTAAATTCCTCAAATCTTTAACCTAGTTTATCATTGTTGTTTGCCAGTTGTCGTCTTTTCATCAGCCCCTCCATCTAAAGACGTAAACTGAATTCACTGCGTGTCGCGCCACATCATTCACAACTTTCATTTTTCAGATACTGAGAACTGAAAGTTGAAGTGGGATGTCACAGTCACCGCACACAGCGAGTCAGACTGTAACCGAACACTGGCTGTGAATGTGTCACAGAGCAAACAGCAGGCATTGCTGTAATGTTCCCAAGAATGGCCTCGGGAATTTAATTGGCTCCACAGAATTATGTCTTAATATGGACTGATAAGCTTGACAATACAGCCTAAAGGCATAAACACACAAGCATTACTGACAATTGAATAGGTTTTTTTTTTTTTTTTTGAAGGATTTACAGACAGCTGTGTGAATGGGATGGTGTTCAGGCTACCTTAGGGAAATTGGAATGAACTGTTAACCAAATGATTTTATAACTGCCTGATAAAGAAACGGAAATCATCCTTCATTGACTCATGTTCCAGTACCTTGCTCTGGTTGTCAGTTTCATGTTCTACCACATTGTTAGGAGAAAGAATTGATGTTGGCGGATAATTACTAGAAAATGCATTCAAGCTGAAGTCCAGAAATAATATTTAATCTGGGAAAAAACACGGGGAAGTTACCGGCCCAAAACATATTGTGGTCAGCTCTTAACGAGTACAGGTGCAGGAGAACACATCACACACTTGGCAGAGACGGTTGGTACTGTGAGCTTCCCCTTTCACTTGAACCCTTTGTTGTCAACATCGCTGATCTTAGCCATCGTTATCCCAGAAACTATCTGGGGGGGTAGGCTTCATTTTCAGATGGTACTCACTGAACGACTGACAGTGTAGACAGTGCTGTCATTGTAATCGAGATACTGGGGTGAGGGAGGGTGGGGTGATACCAAATCTTGCTTCCTTGAGGGAGCAATGGACAGTGGTGCCAAAACAATTTAGAAGGGTCTGGAAAAGGGAGGTTAGAGGAATGCTTGATGCTTTGATTTTTGTCACAGAGTGGGGCGAATTCAAGGCAAAAACTATATGTGGTGGCCTGATGCATGCTTGATGGCTGTCTGGTCTGGGCATTGTGGAAAATTGTTTGTTGGTCATCTCTGTTTGAATTCATAGAAATAAGACTGAGCTTGACTAATTATTAAATCGGTGCTAAGAGTGTTTACTTCCCAGCACACATTTGGAAGATGCAGCACTTGCAAAACTAACTATGGAGTAGACTGTATGATCCCTTCATAAACCTTGAACTTACACTTTGAAGACTTGTCATAATACACCTTGTCACCCTGATGCATCTTTAATCAATGCAATTTTGCTTTGATAATTTGCCTAGTGAAGAAGACAAAGGCTGATAATATAATATCGGTTCTATTCCATTTCTGGTCGTTATCCTCGTATGCATTTTGTTTCAAACTAAAGATGTGTTTTTGGCAAGACGTAGATCTATATTATTTTTTTAAAGACTTGCATGGGAATAATTTCTCAAGTACTTAACTGTATAAAGACCCAATTTAAAAAAAAAAAATCCATAGACATTTTATCATATTGTTTATAGTGTGATCTTGTAACTTTAGGGTATTCCATTATCCAATGTAGCATCAAATTAAAGCAAGTTTCACAGAAAACTGTTGTAAATATAAAGAAAAATTGATTCCAGTTGGGAAGTAAGCATGCTTCAAATATCCGTAGGTGAAAACCACCTTTAATACAAATGTTTACCTGTACTACACAATGCACCCTATGTCATTTTCATAGGGCTATGAATAGTGGAACAAAATGAACTCATTAAGGTGTCTGTATATGTGCAATATATTGCCTGCAGAATTTGATAAAGTTAATTGTATATTGCGGACATTTCAAAGTGAGTTGTGCTGTGTTGAATCTCTTTGTCTTGAAGACTCCTGTGTCATTGCTTCCATTTATGTCTTGAAGACTCCTGTGTCATTGCTTTGTCCTATGTCTTGAAGATTCCTGTGTCATTGCTTCGTCTTATGTCTTGAAGACTCCTGTGTCATTGCTTCGTCTTAAGTCTAGTAAGTCTTGTAATCCATAACTTCACCTGAGCAATGATTTGGGCTAGGTTTCTCAACTCAAATTTGCAACTGCAAGTGAACCTGGTGGACCCTTGGTACACGCCTCAAATTCTGGGTTAACATGCATAGACGTGATGGGCATGCGAGGGCACGTGCCTCCCGAGAAAAAAAGGGGAACAGGGGAAAAGGAGACCAACCGAAACAAAAGGGGAGGAGAAGGAATGAAAACCACCAAGTTGCTTGAAAATATGTCAGAAATTGACACCCCTACAGTTTGATGCCGATGAGTGTTTCCCCCTCCCACCCCTCTCCCCCCACCAAAACCTTGACAAAATCCTGCCGACTGCCTGCATGCACAGATGCCAATTTTTTACATATTTGAATGCAGTAATGATGTCATCAAGGGAACAGGTGCAATGTAAAGAAGCATTCAGGAGTGCGGATATCAAATGTGTTGAATCGCAGTGTTCATCACAGCCACATTATGAAGAGCAGCGGCAACAGTAAACAACCACAGTCCAGCTGAGGTACATTGATCGGTCCAGCTTTGCACAAAGGGCCGGGTTCTCAGTGGAGGTCAAATGCAGAAAAACTGTGAATAATTATAATGTCTATTGCAGCTGACGGTGCAGAGGGCTGCTGGGCAGGGGCACCAAACTAAAGCACTATTACATGTGTATCGTTCTACAATGGAGTCTTGTTTTTCTGTCATTGAAAGCAATGTCATCGTACTGAGGCCGGAATTGTACTACTTTTGTTATTTGGTATACAGGGGGCAAGACAGACATGGCAGCATCACGGTAAACGTCTATGGCCCTTGAATATGGGGGTACAGGGGTTTGAGCCCATGTCTTGCAACCTTTTTAGGTTTGGATTTCTACTAGAAATGCTGTTCATCCTTGCGGAATACGAATTACCTCTTTCAGCGTCAAACGTAACTTTTCCCCTGATTGCAAGTTGCATTCATTTTATCTACAAACTAAAAAGTCATCACACTTTTCATGGATTGAACGATTTGCCACAAATTAAACCAACAAAAACAAAAGAAATAAAAATTTTGGAGAATGCCAATAGAATCAACCATCTAAGTCATGAAGAGGATACCTGCTGATGTTTAATCTGCGAGATTAATCAAAGACTTTAGATGAAAAAAAAGTAATTATGTTTTGATATAAAAATATGAAACCTTCCCTACCAATAAAACACACACATACAAAAGAAACACTTGACTCTATGAGTGCTCTGTACACTTTTATTATTAAAAACGACCGGACTACAGATCTGCGAATCCAAACCACTGCCTAGGAAAAGAAAGATAGCCGTCGACAAGGTTCATTGGCTGTGCCATATTTAATTCATTGCTGGATTTACCGGTCAATAATTGAACGAGTCATCTTCCCCAACCTGAGCCATCATGGCTTTAACTGCACACCTCACCAGCACAGGTACCTGTCATTCAAGCCTAACTAATTGATGGAAAATTGCATTCATGAAAACACTCTCCAAATTTAAGCACTACGAGTTAAAGGGGGATATGATGTGGGAGTAATGCGAGGGTTGGAATTAACAGAACTTGAGCAGCATCAGTTTTTACAGTACCTTAACAGAACAGACCCTCTTTAATGATGATGCTATACTTTGTTGATGTGTGCACTTTTTATGGTGCTCACAGGATCATGGAGCCCCACTGATTCCATAGAAAGGTGCACATCTAAACAAAATTAGCTATTATCAGTACATAGTTCTATTCTTGTGGTGTCACAAGGTATCAAATTGAGCATTTCTGTGGCTTTATTTTAAACAAATACAGTATACCTCCAGGAACTTTCTGATTTAAAGCCATTTTTAGTCTTGGTGACATAAAAACTATAAAAACACATCTGTATTAACAAAAAATGGTGGTTCAAAGAGAATCTATGACACTGCAAAATGGCTGGATGCACTTCTGCATTAAAACAAGAAAAGTGGATTTAACCAACTCGAGTTTTACCGAGTATAAAGCATCATTCTTCCCTCACAGCATAAGGCGTGTTATTAGACTTTAACAAATCAACACTGAGACTTGATCGTGCTGCAAGATCATCCTTATCGTGACTCTAGGCTTTCAATCTGACCTGGGAAGGGAGGTTTTCTAATATGACATCGGCTTGTCTTTCCACCTCTAAAATACAATAACGACAGCCAAGGAGTCTGTCGTGTTATATCCTGCTAAATAAATACCACTGTGAGGGCATCTGCTCAGTTTGATATTACAACCCTGGCATCTCTTCAAATGGCTTAACAATGACCAAAATAGTAAGGACAGTAGTCCTGATGTAACCAGATTTCCTAATTTTCTTTCTGTTTGGAGCCTGTGTTAAAGTAATGCCTGGAAAGTTTCTGTATGATGCAACAGTGTGATAAGCTGTTATCTCAAGAGCTGTCGAACTGAGCAAATGTTCCATCCTTTTCCAGTTTTGGCACAGTAGTGTAATACAACACTGGGGGTGGATTATTTGGGTTACACAAAATGAGTGATTTCTAATGCTACGTAAATGCTGGTGAATAAGTGAAAATGTTGGTATTTCGCCAGAGATTTGGCTATTAGGTGTTCGTCTTTCTAGCTCTCTGACAGTGCCTTCAGAAACAAGGTAATTGGCCGGCTCTTCTTTAACAAGGCAGACTGCAACTGATTAGGGAAAAAATTTGATAGTCCTTAGCCCCCAAAATGTCAAGTTATTTACTCATCTCTCAAAACGTCTCCTGTTTGAGTTTGTCCACAAGTTGGTGCATCAGCTACTTCACTCCCATCTGGGTGCTTCTGATCAACATCAATCAACCAATCCATCAGTCGCTCTCCTCTCCGCTTGATGCTTGTCCCGATTCCACATCGCTGGCACTACCAAAGATCTCCTCTTCATCTCTCTCCACGCCTCCCTGCTCCTCTTCTTCGTCTTCCTCTTCCTCCTCTGCCTCCTTGTCCTCCTCTTCAACATCTTCCTCTCCGCTGCCCGCCGCAGCTTCTTCTTCTCCTTCGTCCTCTTCTTCTTGGACTTCCTCTTCTCTCTCGCTGCCGCTCTTGGCTTCTTCCTCCTCTTCTTGTATTTGCTCCTCCTCGTCCTCTTCTCCTTCCTCCCGCTCCTGGACCTCTTCCGCTTCGCTGCCTTCTTGTTCCGCTTCGCTCTCGGCCCTCTCACTGCCACTGGCCACATTCTCTGCATCTTTTGAAAGTCAAATGATCAAATCAAAACTAGTTAATGAGATGGAATTGTTCAGTGGTATTTACGAGAACTGTCACACAGATCAGATGGATTCAATTCATCTCTGACATTTTCCAAAGAGTGCACCCCTTCAAATAGCAGCATGGAAAGTCACAAAAACAGACTTGGATATATTCACTACTCTTCTGCCTGATTAAGACCTGTCACACATAATGCAACTTGCATACTGCAAGTTTGATTTACAAGGACTTGAGACGATGGTCCTACAACTCGAGACTGAAATAAATTGTAATACAATGCATTATTATATGCTTGTCTTTAGTTGGTTACTTCTTGATTTCATGGTTAACCACTTGCTGCCGGGTGGATTTTTCTTGAGCAAGACAAGATGCCGGGTCCTTTTCAAGATTTTCCGTTTTCAAGATTCTTCCAAAATTCAAAACTTATCACTTAATGGCCGTTTATACCCATATGAAGGACTCTTGGGCACTACTCTAAAGCTGACAGTTAACCTTCACTGCATATAAAGCCTATGTACTCGAAAAACGGGTTGCCTGGAAGGAAATGGTCAACTACCTGCACGTATCATCCAGCAGTTAATAGTTTATTCTTCACTGGTCAAGTGCAGCACCACAGAAGTGTGAATGCACTTTTTTAGGTTAAAAAAGTTATCTACGGAAAATGAATTCCCATTTAACTGCCCCTCCTATGAAAGAAATAATTGCTGAGCCCTTGTGACCAAGCAAAAAAATGAACACCAAATGTTTACTTTTTCCTATGATACATTGCAAACATTGCCAATCAGGATCTTCTCTGATGGCAGCTTCTGTGTTTTATGAATCACTGAACTCACAATGGCAACTGCCAGAGACCACGTATGTTCACCTAGTGCTGCTGGTGTACCATTTAGTTAACACACAGGATTCTATGGGGTAGCGCATGACGGGTGAGCTGCGTTCTGGTCCCATCTCCTACGACTATGGCTTCAAATTTTGATCAAATGGTGAAGAGCCGTAGCCAGTGTGCGATACTAGTGAATGCTGTAGTCTCACATGGAAATGCCGCATGGCACGTTGCCAACATAGCACACATTGTGTGCATCATAAACCACTGAAAATATTTCTTACAGGAGGTTTTCTAGAGATATGCCCAACATATATCTCTGCAAAGAACATCAGTAATGACACTCGCCATAAAGCGAAAAATGCTACATTTTTTTAAAAAGTGATATTAAGTCATTTAATGCAACATTGTCATTTAATGTCCACAGACGTCAGTGCCGATCCTTGATATATCATGAACTGAGTTTTATCGACACCATTTAACCCTACTGAACTCTATACTATTCAAATATGAACTGGATTTTCAGTTAGGTAATGACTTGCCGTGACAGAATAAAATCACAGCATAGCGGACCAAATTTAAGTTGCTGAATCTGGCTTTAAAAAAATTGTACATGTAGCAAGGTAATGAGCATCGAGAAGGCCTTTAGTTCAGCGCTGGCTTCGCCTTTATGGGTTTCAAATTCTGGTAAAACCCTGGGTGCAAGAACGACATCTCGTTTCCACCATAAAAGCCGTGCTGGCATTCAGTGTTTGGCCCTGAACAATAAGCAAAACTATGTGGAGGGAGGAAACATGCACGAAAGAATGTGCCCTAACAAGAAGCAACGCACAGTCAGGTTGAACTCCATCACAGACGACAAGGCATTCTGTTGTCCATTGTTCCTGGAATATAATTCTCTGCCACGGAGGACAGCGTTGAACAAATGAAAGCCCACCGAAGACCAGGAGACTTTTCTGCTCTCTTTGTGTCTGTCTTTGTGTCGGTAAAATATATATATGTTTGCACCCCTGAGGTAGAGAGCGTGCATGACCAACTTTCAATGGCACGTGTGGCCTTTGCTTCAACCCCCGAGCGCTCTGTTGAATGAGTCGTCCCAACCGACCCTGTCTTCTTTGCGGATAAGACACCCTCTTACCAGATTCCTGGGAGGGAGCCTCATCGCCGCTCTCCTCTCTGTCCTCGTTGTCTTCCGCCTCCCCTTCCAAGCCTGCCTCCTCTTCCTCCTGTGTCTCCATCTCCTCCTCGTTCTCCTCTCTCTCCTCGACGTCTTCTGCCATTTCTTCCTCTGCCTCTTCTTCGTCCTCCTCTTCGTGTATGACATTGTCAAGCTGAGACAGTCGGGCCTCCTAGTGGGGGTAAATATTATCCACGAAATATTGCCGACTCTTTCTCGAGGACTTCTGGTTCTACTTAGGCTGAATGTTATATTTTACAACATGTACTACAACTTCATTTTAATATGCCGAATCGCTACACCTGCCGCTCACACACAGAGGAAGACTTATCAATATTCAACGGGAGCGTAACAATCCACCCTACGCATATAAAATAAAAGAGTGTACCTATCAAAATAGAATAAAAGGTCTTGTTCTAAAGTAAGAACAAAATCAAAATAACTTTAAAGTTTGCTTTTTAGGCTGGAAGTCTGGACTTTTAGGTTCATGCATATGCAGGAACTCCAGTTGCATCTTTCGTATTTGCTTGCTCAAGATTCTGACGCTATTATCTTCATTTTTCAAACAGTTTATGAAAACCCTTTCAGTGAACTTGTCACAAGTGAAAACAATCAGTTAACTCTGACCTCAGTCAACTTTTGGAAAGGTGAATGAACTTCTGAGGGGAAAAAAGAACAACAGGATAGACAATACCGAGGGGAAGCCATAACTGCGATGGCAAGACACTCAAACACACATTCTTAAGCTGAATGCACACAAATGCATCTAGCAATTCACCGCATCCTATTGGCTGAATAGGTATGCAATACACACACACCACCTGTCCACTGTACTACTGTGCCACCCCAGTAACGGCTCCTAATTTCTGAAATTGCACACTACCTGCACAGCAAGTTCTTGTTCTGCGAGCTCTCGGTGCTTCACCACCAGGACGGAATTGGTGGATGGGCCTTCCTTTTCCTTGGCTCTTCTCTTATTAAGTCTTACCCTGTGTTTTACAGAGAGCAGGGAACAAACTGATAAGGCAGATTTATATGGCACGTTTTCGATACTGTCACGCTCTTGATGTGCTGCACATCCATATTACCCCTGTTCATCATGCTTAGTAACATTCCTCAACCCATTTCAGCTCTCTGGGGAGTGTACAGCTTGATACTGCCATTTCAGGTGCAAACGGTTCATGAAACACAACAAGCCATCTCTGGTCTGTCCTCGTCTCTCACCCATTTATCCTCCTCAGTGGAGACAGAGGCAGGTAGGAGAAATTGACTTGTCCAAGGCCAAGGCACACAACTGGTCACTTGATTCGAACCCCTGACCTTATCATCAGGAGTTACCAAACCCTAACCTCTGGGCCACCTACGCCCACCTGATCAAAATGATTAAATCAACAAGGGTGATTCAAGCAGACTGGATGACCATTCATATTCAAATGTATGCAGTAATGACTGTTATCTTGTCAGAGAGACAGAAATTGACAAGTCATGAAAGCTTGCGATTTGGTTTACGCCACAGGGTGAAGTGGTGGTAACAAAGACAGCCTATTGGTAAGTTTAAAGAAAAGATCAACAGTCACATACAAGAGCTACAAATAGTATTGACATATGTCCAGGCATTTGAGTCGGTGAAACTTGTCTGATAAACTCACGCTTAACGATCGGGCTAACGTATTTTACATTCTGAGAAATGTTGAATGCTGGGCTTGCCCAAACCATGTCTGACTGCATTACAGCCAGCTCCTTACTACAGTGTTTGCCAGCTCATTCTGAAATGTGAATTGAGTTTAGCATGTACAGTGGCAGGAGAACTGTATTATACTCCATTCCAGTTTGGTCAGACTATGTTAGACGGAATTGATTACTATCCAAATTTTGAAAAAGTTGACTGCCGAGAGAAGGGGGCTGACTGGTCCAAAGCGAATGCCAGGTGCAAGGAGCTACTGATCTTCTTATCCTGTGCCTGTGCATTGCACAAACTGGGCCACAAAAATTGTCAGACGAGACATACCAGCGTGATCGATCTCGTTCTGCCGACGAGTTTCTGATTAGACAGTCACCTGGGTCACGGAAGTAAACACTTGCACAGTTTTTAAGGTCATAATCACAAAAATCAGAGTAAAAACACCAACCACTGCCAACAGGAGTTTGCTCTTTGGACTCTCACCTTGACATTTCCTTGAGACTTTTTGTCAAACCACATCAGGCTTTTGGTTGGACATATACTGCAAATAGTTGGGAAATAGTTCAATGTCTGACCGTAACTTCATGCTTTACAGGGGGCCCTACACTTTGAACCATAAAACATCGTTGAAGATTGCAAAACAAATTGGTAGAGTTTAATTTTTCCTCTTAATGTTCTTTCCAGCAAGCATGCATTCACTCAGACAGTTTACTTGTCCCAAAGAAAGAAACCTTGCAGCAGGGAAAACCAACACAGCAATTTATACAAAGCAGAGTTTTTTCCAGTGCTGTTGAGCTGTTGCCCCATAAATGCCAAGTAACCACAGGCTTCATCCTTCAAGAAGTGGATATTTCTGCCATACGTTTCAATCTCACCTGGTCTCCAGTTCGTCGTAGTAGACACCCTTGCCGTTCCTGAAGACAAAGAAGTAGTTTTCCTCGTAGCCCCTGCTGGCTTTGTTCTTCACATTCCAGTTGTATTCCCGAGCCAGTTTGTACTCATATCTGTTGACGGCAAAATTCAGGATCCTTTGAAATACAGATTTCCTGTGAAATACACTTTATCTCAACCTTTCCCCAGTCGTTACAAATTTACAGGGAGGTTTGGGGGATTTTTTAGGATTAAAGAAGGCAGACCCTAGCCACTGTTACTTTAAATGGGGCTCACTGCTTCTTAAATATAACAAATATATCATATTGAGTAATAATGGATATGTTCCATTGTTACTGTTCTATTGAGATTTTTTGAAGGATTAAGCAAGGGTCCTGGCAGAAACATCTATGGACTTAGGGGCCTGTTTGTTTTACAGGGATCTGAATCTTGATCAGTGATCCCAATGCTGGTCCGCGCCATCCATTAGGCCAGATCTGGTGTTGATGAACCAACTTGAGATCCACATGAAACAGAAAGGGCCCACACACTCTACACTGCCTGCTGAAGCGGGTATAAAGAGACTACGATGTCAACGTTCAGTGGTATTCCAGTGAATCATCAACAAGACGACACAAGCCATGCCAGGGGAGATTGGGTTTCATGATCTAGGTTTTTGGGGGGGATGAAGTCGACAATCTAACTTACTCTTCGTCTTCAACATAGTTTATCTCGTCCAGGAAATCGCGCTTCCTCTTCCCCGTGGTCTCTTCCGTGGGTAGGAAATAGCCAACAAACTGGTCCCCTGCCTCATCAACCATACCTCTGGAAACCAGGGAAAGATTAACAACACACCCAATGGTATCATACAGTCCTCTGCACCTCGTTTGATAAAGAACATGTGAGTATCCATTGACAAACAAGTTGTTCAAATCAAATGTTCTAGGAAATGTTACAGAACTCAAAATGCTAGGTCAACTTTTCTGCTTACTATTTTTCACAGCATGCATATCAATAACTCATATTTGTGAATGACTGTTTCAAACAAAACGGTAAGGATGACAGCCATCAACAGGCAGGAGACAGAGCCCTCCAGTTCTTGTAAGTTGGCTCACCTGATCATAGCCTGTGACATCTCCTCAACCTGGGCGGCAACCGATTTGCCTCGGACAGCAGGGTCTGAATCAAAGATGACCTGAGCGCAAGGGTGGATCCACATCTGAGCCACAAAAAAAAAAGGCATTAACATTTGATCCTTTCTACAAAAACACAGGAACTCATTTGGACGTTAACGAGCAACTCAACCTTTCCAGTGATCAAGATGGTGCATCCCATGACTTGCATTTTACACCCCTGCGTGTTAAAATGGAACACTTTTTCTTACCACATGACAGAATTTGAAGAAACGAGTCAGCCTACCGTCCTCATGAACAGAATTTCCAATTTCCAAAGTGAGGCACTTGAAAACCAGAGGTAAAAATTCGTGTTCGATTCAGCCGAGGTAAAACAACTCAGAACACCAATAAAGCCACGGGTCCCAGAAATCAGAGTGGATACACTTCTTTAACGAAGCATGACACACTGGCCTGGCTACACCAGAAGTCACGGATCTGAGTGAAACAGACTTACATCAAAGTCTGGGAACACTGGTAGGATCTCCACTGGCTTGACATGGGGCTTACTGTAGTGCTGGTCAATCTGGAGAGAAAAAAGAGGAGAAAAATCCATCCGAAATAGTCTGCCACCAAAAACAATCCAACCTCATTCAAACAAATATCATTTATTGTAATGAGAAGCCTTCAGAGGATTTTTTTTCAGTCAGTTATAGTAAAGTCACGATGGACTTTCACACGACTCTTATTTTGAATAGGTAGAAATTTCAAATCAACTTTACACAAAATGTGCTAGGCTTTACTAAAGAAGAGAGTTTTGATGGAATGACATTCATTCACACTTTTTCCAGGTCTTTTGAAATAAAAAAAAGGGGCTTCCAAGAAATCAACGACATCACAACAAAGCCTATTATGTGGAAATTACGTCTGCACAGGCAAAGAAGCGGGGGCACACACAATGGCCAAACACTGCCATTTTTGAAAAACTCACCGGTATTTTGGCATCTTCAAATGTCTTTTCTATTGCTGCAATCTGACTCGCTTGGTCCTGAAAAAAAGGCAATAAATGAGAATAAGGATAAGATATACGGCAGACAGTTTCAACATATGCACCTGTGCACCTAGTATCAAGAGCTAGAAGACTACAACACATCCAATTAAAACAGTGAACCACATTTAGCAAAGTGTCCCACATTATGCATAAGTTGAATGCAAATTGTGCTGTATTGTTTGCACAGGCAGAGGTCCAACTTCATGAAAGTGAATACCAGAAATCATGTGAAACCAATTTTCCAGAGAAGCAAAAGTTGGCAATGGTCCGATCAATAGCGATATGCACCACACGGCATTCTGGATGGTAACAATGACTGGTAAGTAATACTTTCCCTTGCTAAGCAGATTTGTGCCCTCAACAGTTGCATCAAATTTGGCCCAAGCCCAATCAAAAACACTGCATCTCTCTTTGTATTTCCACCGCGTAATTGCATCATCAATTACTATGTTTTGGTTTGGGGTTCTATCAATCACGCCTGTTGTCATAATAAAACCAACCCTGAAGAAACTCAAGAGGGGAAATTCTCAGTACCAAACTGTTACGTCACGCTCCTTGAGAAGCACAGCTGACCAGGCAATACTGAATGACTTACTTTGTATAAATTCTCTTCGTTAAATTGCTTTTTCAGATGATAGGCGACCCTGCGTTAAAAAACAAGAATCAAATTCATTTCATGGAATAAATGAACAAGTTAGTGAATTTCTTGAAAGCTTGCTTTTCAGCTCAACTGTCTTTAAACTGCATGATTTCATCAGGATGTAGATTGAGAGGTTTTTTATGATGTAAGGTTGCTCAGTTGTAAAACAAGTGGAATCCATATCCCGTATACTTTTCCAAAACATGATTGCAAACAAAACGTCCGCCTAAAATGTATTCCAGAAATTATTTCCTAACGTTTGAAGAGGCGGCAGTTTTGCTTCTCCCCTGAAAGTACTTTCGAGAAACATCTCTGAACGTTATATTTGAATATGGCCCTAACAGGTGCTGAATTCCAAGCATTTGTAACATCAAAAACATACCCCCACACACACGGTGATGGGCAAAATTCGGAGAGTGATGGAAAAGAACTTAGGCAGTCCCCAAAGGACAAGTGGAAGGGCAAAGATGGTCTCCTTACTTTGTCTCGACTTTGTCTCGGCTATATTGTGATCTGTTGTATTCACTAGAGATGTACTCCGTCTTTCTCAACCAAGACACGGCCTTCGTGTGCTGCCTCGATCTGAAAACAGATAGTCAATGTTTGAATTGCATTGTTTACAGAAAACCCAAGACTTGGGAATATGCCAGCACCAGCATAAACTGATCCCAACTCAGTACTGCTTACACTTTCCATTGGCGCATGATGTACACCATGGAGATGGCATAACACTATCCCTTGTTAAGAACAACTTGCCTTCTTCCCAAATAACAGTACATTTCAGGCCACCTCCACTGTTCTACAAGCACTCCATCCAGTCAGACAATATATCACTTTATTCTAGTCTTTCACCTGTTAGTCTCTTCTAAAGAGCAAAGTAATACTCTAATAGCTTACAAAACAAAACTCTGTCTGTTACTATGTAACTTCCTGAAAACTGAGTCCAAATTCTAGACATTACCTCTTGGAATCTCCTGGTGTTGAAATTTCCTCTTCGAGCAACTTCTCATCAGCTGGGTCTAGATAAGCTATCATCACAGAGAAAAAAGACACTCGTGAGAACTTTATGAAATGACAAACATACATGAAATTGTGGACAGCATTTTAAATTTTCCATTTTCGAATGATTTTTGAATACTGAATAATGACGTTAAATAACCATATAGCCTGAGCTCGAAGCTCAGCGTTGAGATAAATTCTTTTTTAGTCTTGAATGACTGAATCCTCTTACTGCCCCCATCCCACTCTGTAGAGTCTGTACCAACTTACCCCTGTTACACATTCACTTCGTAATTTGTTTCATGATTTATTGATTTGTATACAGATAGCTTCAAATCATCTCTGACTGATCCCATTTACCACATTCCACAATGTTTGCAACATTGCTTACGTTGCTTTGAGTGTGGCACCTGGTTGCATCACATACTAGCCCGTGCTTCCGACTAGCGCCACCGAAACAAAGCTGACAACAAGGATGAACAATCAATATAAGGCTGGTCAACTCAGTCAGTTAACCACCAGCGTGGCGTTCCAGAGGTCACAGGCTCAAAACCCCCTCCAGCTGATTTCTTGATTCATTTTTCAAATTATTACAGAAGCATCTAGTCAGTTTCCTGGTATGAATGGTTTACTCGGTTTCTCAAGGAAGAGACAGGAACCCAAACGTACCATGAGGATCTATCCTGTATGTGTCTGGGTTGATGAGATCGATTGTGACCCCGAGGTCATGCTCAGCCAGCAGCTCATGTTTGTAGTTGCGCTCCAGTGATGTGGCGTTGTATTTGACGAACCGGTTGGCCTCGAAGGGGTAGGTGATGAACTTGGGGTCAAAAGGTATGTCTGGTAGGTTGTTGCCGTACTTGATGCGGCATACTAGATCAGACCTGTGGGTCAAAGGTCAGCAGGTCAAAGGTCAACTGATAATGAAGAATGCATTGTGTCAAAATTGACATTCAGCCATGCATAAATCCTGGCCTAAATAACAGGTAAGATCATCCCTTCTACGCCAGGATATCATTTGCACTGCCTCAACATGACAGGAATCCCCACAGGATTTTGAAGAATTGAGACAGTAGTCACCCCTCAAGTGGAACATTCTGTTACATGAAACCTGACTACCGAATGACCCATCTTGGGACCAAGTCTCCAGATTGGACATGAAGTTAGCTCTCTGGCATCACATTCTGAAGAAAAAGCTTCTTCAAACCGAACAGAGACCTCAAATTTGGATTTACAAAACCACAAGTTCTTTAAATTATTCAATGTTAACAGCAGTTTTACAAAATCATTTTTTCAAGAGAATATTCTAAAACTTACTTTCCTGGCACAGTTCCTCTGGATCTGAAAAAATCCAAAATGCAAGGAAAAAAATCAGGTATCAAATTGAATGTTCAAAATACACAAAGGATCCAGAAGAAATTAAGAATATCAAAAAACAACATTTCCATAAAACATTGACAACATTTGCAGAATTTATGACAGAGAGAAAATATCTAGGGCATTTTCTGACATCTAGTTTCATGTGATTTTTTCTTAACCCCTCAACGACGGGAATTTTTTTCCGAAAGCCGACTCCTAGAATTCCAGCCTCGCCGCTTGGCCATGAAGGCCACCTGCTAAACTGCAAATTCTCAGTTTGTGGCCCTGCCTGCTCTGCACGCTTTGAATTACACAGTGAACGGTGGCATGCGGCTCTACTCAAGCTTCCACATTCCCGTTGCCTCTGTGGGGACTATTGTGAAGCTGATGATTATGATGCAAATTCGGTCTTTTCATTTCTGGGCTACACACAAAGGCCAATCACCATGTATGCAAGAGCCAGGGTCTGCCTTCTCTCACCGTGTTCGCTCGAGCGTGGGCCGAGAATAATAGCTGAAAAGCGTGCTGTGGATCTCAATTTTTACGACGGCTCTTACTGTCTCCCGGCACGAAGGGGTTAAAATGAGAAATCAATCAACAAAACTTCTTCATGTTTTCCCTTGAAGCAGAAAGGGTCCTAGGATATGAAAGTATCGGTACATTGTAGATTGTACTGCATTGTGTGAAAGGGATGTGATCAAGGGTTTAAACATTTAAACAAAAAAAGTACCAAATATGTTTACAGATTTTCCCAAACATTTAAATGGAACCACCCCTTTTAGAGGTTTGACATTTTAATTGACGCAATCTGGCATTCATTTTTATTGAAAAAGATGCCTGTAAAATGTAATCTGATTTTCAGAGCACTTTACTGCTCGGTCATATCAAAGGAATTCATCATCGGAACTTTGTGTTAACTATTTACACTGTATACAATTTGTTGTATTTAAAGTGTTCAATGACACTATGGGAAACTAAGTTTTCTAAATGTTTTTCAAATTAAATGTAAATTCCCACCCTCTAGCGTGATGGGTACTTGTACACTGTAGATTGTATGGTATTGGAATTGTACA